AATTAAAAATATTAAATTTAAAAGAGAATTAAACTTTATCCCAAATCATTTTCAGTTAAAAATTTTAGCAACTATGATTTGTCGATTGTTCTCGTATTAACGGGTAAAAATGCAAAATTTTATAAAACAATAAATGAAAGATTATTGTCGTAAGAGGAAATTTTTAGCAAAATACAAAAAATTTCTCAGTGAATCAATAAAATTCCTATAAATATTTGCATTAAAGCAGATGAATTCTTCGAACTATATTGAAATGAACAAGATCAATATTGGTTTTGAAATAAAAAATTTCTATTTTTTTATAAATTAAGAATTGCAGAAGATTATTAAAAAATTTGTGGTTTATTTATTTATGTTCAGCTATAGGTATTTGACGTATGCAAACAAACAAAAATGCTTAATATATTTCGTAGATGTAAGGAATCATAAAAAACTCTAATCACTATAAACCTGAATCATCATTCTTATGTATTCGTAAGATCCATATGGAATCATTCGTTTCATCGGTCTGCTTTTTTTTAATTCCAATTTTCATCGTTTTTGATTTTAATGATTTGTAGAAACTATTAATAGCATCACGTTGATCCGATTGCCATTGCTTTGAGGGCATTCCTGCCGGTGATTCCTGAATCGTTCAAATTTTATTTTCAAATTTTTTTTTCCTAGATAGTCCCGAATTGGCATCAGTTACAGCATACTTTTCAATTGCCATTTTGATTTATCTTCCTAACTGATAAGATGGTGTTGTTAGAGGAGTGATAAAGATATCGGTTATATTATTGATCAATAATCAGGGATCATATCAAAATTTACCGGTATATTAATAGAAAAATTCCGGAAAATATAGTGAAGTCATGGATCAGTAAACAGATTGAATGGATTGCTATGATATTCTTGCTAACAAAAATTTCTTAAACAGTGTATAAGCTTTATAAAATAAAGGAATCTTGGGAGAAGGTTTGAAAGATTCTTTCTTACTATAACGGAAGTGCCGTGATAAGAAGAGATACCGTAATCGAAAACGATACTGTAATAATAGAAGGTGTTATTTAATTGTTAATATCTTTACTTGAAATTATTATTATTTTTGCTCATAGTACCTTTAAATATTTATTTTTTTGATAAAAGTAATGTTTCCAAGAAAGTAATGATGTTACCTTTGAGTATACGGTACTTCCACGTTCGGTATTTTTGGTGACAGTTTGACTTATAAATCCCATTCTTCTATCATTACGTTGTGCTCGCGTTGACGTAAGTTTTGATTCCGCTAGTTTATGATATTTTCGGAAAAATTTCTGACGTTCACAATGAGACCAAGAGGAGGATTTTTTTCTTAACGAGGTGACAGAATCATTTAAATCTTCCCTTTCATTCTCCATCTCTATGCTATCCAGTGAGTAATTTATTTTGGTTGAAGTAGTTGTAGCATTGGTAGTAGTAGTAGTAGTAGTAATAGTATTAGCAGTAGCATCCGTTGAAGTTTTATTTTTCATAAATAATTTCCGAAAATCTCGAAGAAATGAACGTGCCTTAGTATGGCTAGATAAATTTGTTAGAGATGACATTTTTTCAAGCGGATTAATTTCGTTAATTTTAGAATCATCAACATGTTCAGTAATATTTTTTTGAAGTATAACATCTTTACTATCCATAAAGCTGTATGATTTTGGTCGCATTTTGGGTGATAAATCAGACTAATGAAGTATTATTTCCGCCTTCTTTACGTTCACTATTATTCATTTCCACCGCTATTTTTGAATTTTAATTTTTAAAACTGAAAAAGAGAAATGAAATGAAGCAGTAGATGAAATATGTATTGTGGAAATGAGACAATTCAGTGAACACTTCGATAATAAACTACAATTCTGATGACAGTTTGATAAAAAAAAAATCCTTTACTTCTTATGTTAGCATGAATTCAAGAAAAAATTGTAACAGAAGGATAGAAAATGAAGCTAATAAATAAAATAAGACAAAATGCACTGAATTTAGATTAAAAAAAAAAGATAAATAACGCTAAATGAATTATAGAAAATATAAATATTAGTTATACTATGAAATTTCGCTGAAAAAACTACCAAATTATGCTTTATTTATTATCATCTATCGTTCAATCAACTGAATTTAATTATTTAATTGAATTTACAAAATGTAAATATGCTTAATTAACTGGCTTAAATAAATTTTATGATCAAGAGATGCTGAAAGTTTTCCACTACATCTGACTAATATGGGAATTATTTCCATGAAGAATAAGGGAGAAAATATTACTTACCTTATCGGCAATAAGTGGCTAAATTTAGAAATAAAATTTGGATTTTATAATTTTTAATACGTACGATGTTGCCATATAAATTTGTAAAGCTAATTATTTTTTCTATTTTTTGATCTTTCGCGAAAATTAAACATAATTCATTTCTGTCAACAATTTTTACTTCATGTCTGCAGTGCTGACAATTAAATTCTCTTTTGAATTGTTATTTCGCGATTGTCCAGAAAAGCCAAAACATGAAAAAAAGCGGTGAGTACCACTGACCTATTGACCTTTGGCTAATCTTCCTGGTATGTTGATTTTGTTCATAAGGCATAACAGTAGTAATTCATGAAAGGTTCATATTTCATTGATTGATTCATTTGTGGAAATTTCTTCACTCTCGTAGATAACGTTTCACTTTGCATATTTATTCACATCATTTATTGAAGAAGTAATTAATATATGTTTCGTTTAAAATTTTGGAACTCAAAAAGAAATGCAAAAGATCGTAGAAATGTAATATGTTAAAATTGTAAAGGAAACTTTGAAATGTTAAATTTTTTTTTTCAATTTTAATGTTTACCACAAATCATGTCCATATATAACAATATGTATATGATAATAAAACAAGGAAAGAGATAAGAAATGTCATTACATTTGAAACACTAACTGGAAAAAAAAATTAAGATTAATCGAAAAATGTTAGCACTCATATCAATCATAATAAATTATCACAAACTATGATAAATCACCATCTATAAAATATTGATAACTACTGATAATCTGCATTTAATATCAGGACTGAGAGCGAAGATGAATGGAAAAAAGAAAAAATGTTCGAAAAATTTCTCATTTGTTAGACTGTTGCTTGGATTGATAATGTGACAGATTTGAATTGAATTATTTTCATTTTTTTTTAATGAAAAAGGAAAAAACGAAATTAAAATTCCAATTCATATAAAATGAATGAATAATTAAAATTGAAAAAAAAATTAGCAAAGCAATGCATAAAAAATTTAATGAAAGCAATAAAATATTGCAAAACGATTATGAAATATGTTAAAAGAAGCATTTCAATTTTAAAATGAAATTAATTTACTGATTTTCAAAAACATTTCTATTGCACCGAAAAGCGGCAAAACGAGAAGATCAGAGAAAAAGGATCGCGAAATGGAAAACGAATTAAAGATAAAATGTATGTCATACAGAGGAATGTGACCGTTAGCGGTCATTTCTAAATCAATACCAAAAAGAATCGATTTGAGTTGACCTATCATATTTTAGCAATAAATAATGCATTCGATAACATTGTAAACAGTTCCCCAAATGTAAATTTAGCAAATATCACAGAATGGAAATAATTATATTTTGATTTTGTTTATTTCAAATTAAAAAGAAAATGATTTAAATTTATAATTTTCTTGAAAATTTAAAAGTGACTATTTTCGATTTGTCTATTTTTTTCCCTTCGGAACAAATCGACAATTTTGTTTTGGAAATTGACAAATCGACGATTGAATTGGTGTTTTCCTTTTCATTTCCAAATATAAGACTGGAAAAATTTTCTTTCAAATTGATAAACATTTCCAATGTCTGATGGATGTAACTGTTTTGCAAATTGTAAAATTTCCAAATAAAGTAAGTTGTTAAGATTGAATTCTCTAAAATTTATATATTTGTGAGTAAAGTTTTTTTTCTGATTTGTGTCAGCTGAATTTGGAAATTTTAGATATTTTACAGCTTTAAAATTTTAGAAATTTTAGATACAACTTTAAAATTTTATTATTTTGCCATAAATTTTTCAATATTCTGAAAGATATAGCTGCTTTGCAATTTGCAAAATTTCTCAAAAAAAAAGGAAAAAAAATTCTTTTTTCGAATTGATATAGAGTCTTTTTTTTATAATTACATTAAGTATTTGGCAATTTTTTCGGCATCATAAAATTTACAATTTCCTAATCAAAAAACAACAAAAATTAATCAGTGTTTTAGCAATAAAAAGATAAAGATAATAATGCGTATGTCTTTTTATCTTTAAATTAATACGATTTGTAAAAAAAAATATTTGAGAAGTATGTGAATTAAAAAATTTCAATTAAAACATTTATTGCTGGCACAAATGATTAAATATTAATCGAGTATTGAAAAAAAATTTGATTTTATCGATATATTATTTAGCTGATGTTAAACAAAAAGATGAAGAAAAATTATTATTTTTATAATATTTTGACGAAATCCTCCTCATATTGAGTTACGGAACAAAAACAAAAAGAAAGAATTTCCGAAAAAATTCCCCGGAAAAATAAAAAGAGAAAAAATTTGCAACTAATTAAAATATCATATAAGCATTTCTCCACTTATTTTTTGTAATCAATATTTGTTCCTATTTAATTAATAATTTTTCTCTTTTTTTATGAAGCTCAAAGTCAAGAAGGAGAAGAAAAGAGAAAAACAGAAAATTTAAAATAAAAGTTCTATTCAATCATTTATCATTTTTTTCATTTCTGGCAAACTATTTGTTAAATATAAATAAAAGTATTTTATCTTTACAACTACTGGAAGCAAAAAAAAAAATAATTTGAAATTGTTAATTTACTATTCTTATGAAAATATACATAATTTATAGGGGATTTGTTGAAATATTTGTTATTTATCTAATTTAATTCAATTTGAATCGATTATTCACTAATATACTAATCGTAATACATTAATAACTAATAGTAACATAATGACATTCATAATAATAACTAACGATACTTTATTGATCTTAGAAAAAAAAAAATTAAAAAAGAAAAGCACACATCCGAACAATGTATCGAGAATTTTCTCAAAGAATTATTGAGAAATCCATTTAAGAACAAGATATTTGAATTGAGAGGAAGTAATAAACAATTGATCGAAGCAGATAATAAGAAACAATGTTTCTACATTGAAAAGATATGATGATAAGTCTAAAACGTGTTTGTCAAGTTTCATAGAAAAGTTGGAACTAAATCCGGCATATACCACAAATCAACATATTCATCATTTTTGTTTTGCAATTCTTTTCGTTAACTATTACAATTACCATCAATTTTACGTAGTTTCTACTTATCAAATTTTCAATAAATAGGAGAAAAATTTTTTAATGAAAAAAAAAAAAAATGAAGTGAAGTGCAATTAGGAAAATAGAGAATGCGAGTGTCGATTATCATCATCTGCATGGTGGAACTGACTCTCTTTACACTGGCAAATTGTTCCTATTCCACAAATTGAATCTTAATTTTTTTTTTCTTATTAATTCTATTATTGATCAATTACTGTAACAATTTTCGATGAATTTTTATTGCTTCAAAAAAAAAAGAATGGATTGATGGATGAATGGAAAACACGAAAAAGGAACTGAAACGATTCATTAAGTAATATTATGGTGCAATAATCATTGGAAAATCGATGTACTACAACAAAAAAAGAAAAATTAAAAAAAAAAAATCGATCTATTTTAATTTAGCACTTAATATTGTGAACAGATTTATTTGATTTGGGAGAGTTTTGTTCTTATATGGTACGGTCAAATTTGTTGGTGATGGTTTCTTTTATTAGAAGAGGTTTTCTTTGGATTGATGTTATTTGGTTGGTTGTATTTCTTTGGATGGGAGTTGATGGTTCCATTAAATCACGATCGGGATGAATTAGATTTAGATTTGTTATTTGGGTCTTGGTCTAGAATGTTTTATTCCAAACATTGATAGCTTTGATATAGTGAAAAACTACATTAGCTGATGTAGTTCATTAGATTTGATAGATATTTAAATTGGCGACAATACTGATAATGCTGAAGTTGACTGCGGACAATGCTACCGGAAGTAATAATGATGAAATGATTTAGCAGATGATTTCATGACAATTGCAAGAATATTGAAATGAATAAATGGAGAGATTACTTGCTAGTTAAATTTGTTTCAAACAAAAGACAAAGAACAATTAGAAAACAAAGACGTTGTAAGGCAATCTCTTAACGAATTATAGCAACACAAAGAAGTAATATGACGAGAAATTAAATTTAACAATGACAGAATTGTGAAATGCAGCTCCCTCAGCTTAATTACTGAGAAATATTTCTCATGAGTTTATTTTGATCTTATATTATGGATTAATTCCGGATTTCCGACACTTACTGAGCTAGCTTTAATTGAAAAAGCAATATTAATTAATTTGTATTATATGTTATGATAGTTCATGTAAATTTATTTTACCTGTGATGCATGATAAGTTACAAATTAACAACGAAAGTAATTTGATGCTTAATGAGTCAATTTTAAGAAGATTAAAGTAAAAAAAAAATATAATAATCTTCATTGTTTAAACACCCAAGATCCTTGAAACACTTCAAATTTCGTAAACTTCACTGCCAGCAAGCATGTTAATATGGACGTAAAAAAC